GGGCTTAGGAAGGGGCCCGAAAAAAGAAAACCCACAAGGTTGGGATGTCGCATGGTCCCTTTTTCAATCTGAGCCAGTAATTCAAGGATGTCTCACCAAAACTTGAAGTTTTTACCATATCAGGAAGGCTTCGCCGTTTAGAGAAAAGGGCTTGCCAGGGGTAACAAAGAAATCTAAAAGATCAGGTTTGTCTTGGGCATTGTGGGGTGGCTTGAGAGTTTACGGGTTTAGCGCTTCTGATACTGGTGAGGCAACTCTCTTTTGTTTATCCCCCTGCAACATAGAGGGATACTAAGAGTGTAAATACGAAGCCTCGACGAATGAGCTGGTTCTTCAGCTAGAGTCGCAGGCAAAACCTGTACGTAGCTGTTGCAATTGCTCTATAATTCGATATGATCCTTCTAAAATACCCCCCCCCACACACACACTCTCACTCTAGTCTGATTCTTCGCCTTTCATTGCATTGTAAGCCCGCAGTCCCAAATTCAAACCTGAGTCGTTGAAGCATCCGAAGAAGCTGCAAGCGTGCTTTTCTGCGAATGGGCCTCAAGTCAAAAGGGCCTGCTAGACAGCGAAATCCTGGCGTCATGAATCTGCACAGTTAGCGACCTTAACCGAAGAAAGTATGGCTTTGGAGTAGCACTACAACTATTCAGAGCCTATGTATCAGCAGCCTATACCATAAGCCCCAACCCTAGACCCCCGTAAACTCTCCGCCTTTGATAGAAGCCTTCGTCTTACGTTCTCCCCTACTGGGTCATAAACCCTAAACACCTACTAGACCCTAAACCCCAAAAGCGACCCCCTCACCCCCTCCCGCCCTTTCAATCAACACCAAAAAACACCCCCCCCCCCCAAAAAAAAAAAAAAAAAAAAAACTCCGTGCGCCTACAGCTTTCAGCATCTGCGAGGACTCCACCACGGAGGCTGCTAAGGAGCTCGCCGAGCGCTCCAGAAAGATCTGATGGTCCCCACGTATCTGGGCGGGTTTAGGGTTTAGGGGTTCAGGGGTTTAGGGGGGTTTAGGGGTTTAGGGGTTGAGGAGTTTAGAGGGGTTTAGGGGGGTTTAGGGGTTTAGGGGTTGATGGGTTTAGGGGGGTTTAGGGGTTTAGGGTTTAGGGTTTAAGTGTTCCCAAACCCCAAACCTGCACAATAGAGGCCTTAATGATTTCAAAGCAGGTTTCCGTGTATATCGTGCCATAGCCAAAAAAAAAGAATTATTCACACCTCTGATGAAGAGAAATATCCACACCTCTGTATTCGCCCAACCAAAACTACCTGCGTCAGGGCAATTATCAACATAAATCGCAACGAGGAGCTTAGAAGAGCATGTGGTTTTGGGCAGGCAGGACTTGCAAGGGTTTGTCATGAGGGTGTCTGAAGGCTTCGGATGACTTTCAGAAGTTTGCAAAGGCGTTCCTGGGCTTTTAAGTAACCAGGGAGAAAAAAGTATAAACCTGTATTTCATAATGGTCCCCTCTAAGAAAAATGTATTAAAGTATGGTACTCCAAAGCCGAGGTTCCTAAGCCAACAATCGAATGGCTTAACCCTGAGGCCACAGAACCAAACCCTCCGAAGCTTGAAGGGACCTAAACCCTGAGCTAAGCATGACCCTTGGTTCCCGGCTCTTTGCATCTGTCCCTATGTGGAGGAAACCCTGTGAGAGGACCTCCTCACTCTGCTACAGTTTCAAGGCTTAGGGCTTAGGGGTAAGGATGATAATAAAAAAAAGTGCGATGCTTCCACAACCATGATCATGGCAGCAATCGTCATCGAGACGGCCTTCCACTGAACGCTGAGCCGCCCAAAGCCCTAAACCCTAAACCCCCAGCGCTAGATGCCAAGCTCTGAACACTACACCAAAAGCTATAAACCCTAAGCCCTAGGCCTAAGCCCTAAACCCTTTCGCCCTAAACCCTAAACCCCTAAACCCGAAAAAACCCAAACCCTAAAATCCAACACCCTCAATGCTCAACTCTGAACAGGCCTCGGAGGAACCGCCTTTCCTCCTTTGGAAGAAGCGGCTGCTGAAGGTTCAAGGGCTTAGTAAGGACTTTGGGGGAGCGTAGGGTTTAAGGGCTTCGGGTTTAAGGGCTTAGGGTTTAAGAGCTTTGGGTTTAAGGTTTACTAAGGGCTTGGGGTTTGGGGTTCAGTTGGGGCTTAGGTTCAGTGCTCCTAAGACTTCACCCTACACCCAAGGCGTTAAGCCGTGTATCCTGATCCCTGAAATCCTGAAACCCTGGAAACGACTTAAGAAGAATGGCTTCGGGCTTTCGGGCTGAAACCTGTGTTGGGCAAAGGACGTTCGGCTTTGGGGGCGGAGGCAGGCTTCGGGATGGTCTTCGGGGGACCCAAATAGTTGGTCAACAGTGGTATGAGTATGAACAGCAGTCTTGCCTCTTTTGCACAACATGGGAGTTTCCGATTATAGGGGACCCCAATGTAGTACCCTAAATAGTAGGGTACTTAGTATAAGGACCCCCAAACTAAGGTACCCCTAAGTTTCGGAAACTCCCACATACTTCAGCAGGATGTTGGATGCGTCTGGAACAAGATGTTCGGGACTGATCTGGCTTGTTTCTGCTGTCACAAGCGTTCATGTATTTTTGCTGCGAAGAACATTCATCAACGGTAAAAATCACCAGCTTCTCCAAAACCCTGCTTTTTCCACGAAATATGGCTTATATATCTATCTAGGAAACAAGCACACGCCACACAACTGCTGGGGCCAGGTTTACGATTTAGGGGCTTGGGTCGGGGTTCAGGGTTGAACAGAGGCCTTGGGTGTTATCTTCTGCTACTGGCATATGCGCAGAGGACTGCGCATAGGTACCTACAGCCGGTAGCGGGAACTCACCTATCCTCTGCGGTAGGGATCCTTGGGGAAATTACGGTCGTCATGGTGGTCAGCATCATCGTCATCAACAGATTCGCCTCGCTCACTACAAAGCGTCGCTCCGAAACTCCGAGTACCCAGCAGCGGACTAAACTTACCTCTGGTTAGTAGGGAATGGAGGAATGGGGTACAGTCGACTATTACTACCATTCTTCCATTCCCTACGAACCAACGGCAAGAGCTCTAGGATTCAGGGTGTCCTTGGTATACTCTGTAGCTTCGCACGCTCGCCATAGCCGCCCCCCAGTGGCCGCATCAGAACGGCGTGGATGCGCTAAACACTGGCCACCCAATCGCCGACCCTGGCAACCTTTTCGGGAGTCCTAAAACGTTGAGGGGAGCCATCGTCCCGAAAGTTCAAGGTTCAGGGCTTAGGGCCTTTAGGGGTTCAGAGTGCAAGTTTCAGTGTTTAGGGTTTTTTGGAACTTTCTTGGAAGTCTAACGTTCAGGTCTTCAAGGGGCGTGTCGTTCTAGTGGCTCCGGCTCAGGCTTGTCCTGGAGAGCCCTCGGTTTAGGGTTTACCTGGACCCTACGGAACCTACCTTTTTAGGGCCCCCCTAATATGATTTCTTTATATAAGTCCCTAAAAAAGTAGGTTACGTGGGGTTAAGGTAAGGGTTAAGAATGCGGAAAGAGCAGGTCAACGACACGCTGAACCCCTCAGAGTGAACGGAGCCAAATCAAAAGCAGGAAAGACTTGCGGGCAAAGGACTGCAAGGGCACTCAGTTTCGACCGAAGGAGATCTGAGGCTTAGGGTTTCTGATCAGCCTGAAGCTAGGATACCCAGTAACCTAAGAAGAAAAAAGGCCTCTCTTTTGGGTACTGGGTAAACTTATAAGGAACCTAGGACTACAAAAAGGGAATAAGGGTACTACTGGGCATCCTAGGAAAGCTTTTGGGCAACAAAAGAACATGGGGGGAGAGGTTGCTGAGGGCATAAACCCTAACCTTTGTCCCCCTGAATCCGGTGGAGGTAAAGGAAGGAGCCAGGAAGGCGCAGACGGAACGCTTTTGAGGGGCTTATAAGGGTCGGGACTCATATTGATAGCAATCCTGTTCTTACCACTTCAAGCCCCCAATCGCATACCATTTTGACTCCTTGCTAGTCTTCCTACCTTTGCTCTTGCAATTCTCGCTGTCATGCTTATTTCTTCTGCCCTCGATGTTCTTGCAATCTTCGCATATTCGATTCTTGCTCTCTTTGTTTTAACTCGTCTTCGCGGGCTCCAAAGGTGAGATGAAGTTCAAATGATCCTGAGTTCGGCTAGAACAAGAACTCTTACATGAACTTACATGCATCAAAAAAGTCCTTTGGGACCCTCTCTGTTATTGTTAGTTGACTTCTATGCCATCCTCGGGTGTGTGGCTTTCTGGCACGGACTCCGCATCACATTCCTCCTCCATCAATAACAGGGGATTGGGTCTAAATGTACAGTGGGGCGTCTGGCATCATCGCCTTTGAGAATCGACTCTCGTGGTCCGGATCTGTGTTCCCAGGAATGCTCTACCTCTTGGCGGGTGTCGGGCCCTTCTATCCAAACACCTCAACCCCCGCAACCCTCTCTCCCATAAACCCTAAAGCCAAACCCAATATCGGTAATGGCCAAATTGCCCCCTAGTTCATACGAAGCGTAGCAAACCCCGTAAGCTCTGTGGCAGATAAGTGTGAGGCAGCTCAAGTCCGGCATTAAGTTTAGGGTCTAGAACCCTAACCCTAAACCGTATAAAGCCCCCAAACCCTAAGACCCTATAAAGCCCCTAAACCCTAAACCCTATAAGGCCCCCAAACCCTGAACCCTTAAACTTTAAACCCTAGAACCCTGAGACCCAAACCAGTCTAGCTGGCAAGGCTGGGGTTTCGTGGCGTAGGAGTGCCAGCCACTACTGAGCTCCACGATAAATCCTACACCCTTATCCCTTAAAACACAGCCTTATAAACACAGCCCTACTATAATCTCTAATAGATCCTACACCCTAATCCTAGCCCCTAAAACCTATAAACAGAGTCCTGTAGAAGCCCCATGGGCCCTGAACCCTCAGCTCCGGTTCTTTTCGAAGCTCTAGGCACTAGACTGGGGCGCTGCTAACGCTCGCTCCTGTCATTAGCAGGGCTTTGCAGGACGCTTCGGTCTCAAAGCCAAGGAGCACTGGCTGTTGTAGGGCCGGAGATCCGGATCTTTCCTCGGTGACAAGGAGCACTCCAAGTCGGCCGCCGTCGCTGTAACGGCGGTGGTCCAAGACCGAAGGGTGGCCAAAGCCAACTTCTCAGGCTCACAGCTCCAGCGCGCCGACTCCTCGGGCTCCCGAGTCTCCACTTTGGGCTCCGCTCTTTCCTTTGAAGCTGCGCTTTGCGTGGGACCCCCCAGGGGTCCCTGCAAGGGTGCCTCGCCGGCGCCCTCTTTCCCCAAACCTTCCCAAGTCAGCCACTTGATGGCCAAAGAGCCCTGCGGGCCCTGCGGCGGGCCCTGCTCGCTGCGGCGCCGTTCCGCTAGCCGTGGTCCGGCGCTGCAGGGCCGGGACCCCGAAGAACTCGTGGAGCCAATGGTCTTCGGCCTTGAGCCGCGGTCCAGGGAGCTGCTGAAACTCGGCGCCAGAAAGTCCGCAAGCCGCCCAGACGGGGCGCCGGCCCCTGTGGGGCTTGTAGGAAAAGGTACGAACGAGGCTGCCGTGTTGCAGGGCGAGGCCTCCGCGCTGCTTTGAGGCGCAGGCTCTGCCCGGGACTGGAGCACGCAGCTCCCCGCGTGGCGGATGTGGGGTCCGCGAGCGGGAGGCGGTGAGATGAGACCTGGCGCAGGGCGCCGACTGTGAGGAAGGAACCCCATAAACAAATGATCGTTTTGGCAACACTTCAGGCTTTAATACTGTGGCCGGGGGTCATGTGGATGAGACAATGAACAGAGACACTAACCACCATGATGCAAAATTGAGATAGTCAGTGCAAGGATCACAGCAAGACTCAGATGCACTCACACAAAACAAAATTATCATGACGAATAAAAATGATGACCTTTTATCACGACGAAAATCGTAGGTTCTTTGCTGTCTGGTTTCGTGACAGAATTGCGCAGCGGCGCGGCAGTGCTGTTCTCAGAGGCACACTGAAACGGGAACACATTGCAAACACCGCGCTGGCAAAAGCTTCACCTCAAGGCTTTATTAAGACTGGCAAAGCGACGAAATCCAAAACTGGAGCCCCGCACAGATGCTATTCAGGATTTTGTGCCCTCTGGGCCACGTGTAAAGTGCGAAAATGAAACGTCGTCGTCATGATGACCATGGCCAAGGCTGACAACAGCTATAGAAAACCTATTTGAACAGGGTATACACCCTTTGGAAGAGGGTCTAAAAAGCCAAAACAGAAAGAACAGGTAGCGATCCTGGCTGCTGAAAGGCTCCCAGCATTCCTCAAGGTCAGATCAGACAGAGCGAGTTTCACTTATACACTCTTGTCCGTATCTCTACAAGCGGTATTAGCGGTATGATTGCAGGTTTCGGGACCAGAGAGGCTTGCTTGGAGCATCTGTCATAGATCATCTGAAGGACCACTCTATACAAGTTAAGATGACATACTCCTGGGCTAGGCCTTAAACTTAGGGTTTAGGGTTTAGGGCCTTAAACTAACCTCAACCGGAAACCAATTGAGTCGCAGACTCCGAAACCCCACCCCCCAAGCCCGAAATCCTACCCAGAACCTGTAAGACCTCCCTTATGAGCCCCTAACTAAACCCCAAAGGTCTTAAACCCTAAACCCTGAACCCTGGGCTCCCTAAAGCCACAAGAAGCCCCCAATCCCCAAACGCAAAACCCAAAACACCTAAACCCCTGAACCCTTAGCTCCCAAATAAACAACCCCTAACCTTCATGAACCCCCCCCCAAAAAAAAAACCTCCAAAAAACCCTGAACCCTAAACTCTAAACCCTAAAACCCTAAACCCTAAAACCCTGAACCCTAAACTCTAAACCCTAAAACCCTAAACCCTAAAACCCTGAACCCTAAACCCCCAAACCCTGAACCCTAAACCTTTAACCCTGAACCCCTGAACCCAACAGCCTCGGTCACATCGCAAGCCCATGGCGAAGCGCTCGCGCTCGCGGATCAGCGTCGGAGGCTCGCGGTCGCTTCGGTCCTCACAAGAAGGCAGAACTTCGGCTCGTAAGGGTCCAAGGAATTTGGGGGTCTTGAGGGGTGTTCTGGGGTGTTTAAGGGCATCAAGGGTCTATGGGTGTAGGGGTTTAGGGGTTTCGGGTTAGGGGTTTGGGGGTTGGGGTTTGGTGTCGTCACTGCAGGGTGAAACTGACAGCACTCGGAACCTGTTCAGTCGTACAGCGCACCACTACTTGCCACAACCTCATGCAACCACGAAATCGAGCAAAGCCCAAACCCTCAACTCAACCCCAAAACCCAACAACCCCCCACCCCCTCCCCACAAAATAAAAGCAAACAGAAACACAAAAGCGCACAGACCTCGAGTCGCGGCATGGTCCGAGCAAGGGGGCTGGAACGGCCTGAAACTCGGGAGGTGAAGGCTTGGGCGCAGGGTTTAGCGCTTAGGGGGGTAACTGGTATGGTTCAGGGCGAGGGCTTCGGTGATTCACGGTTTAGGGGCGTAGCGGATTGAAGGTTTGGGGGTGTAGGGGCTTTAATTTAGGGGTTTAGGTTTAGGATTTAATGTAGGGGCCTTATAGACTCGAAGAATGCTCCTTTGAAGGGATCCGTTAAGGGTTACGGGGCTCTGCAATGTAGCAAAGACTAGAATAGGGTTTGGGGGTATGTTACCCAGAATGCGTGGGTAGTTCTCTGAATTAGGGTCCCTTGTAAGGTTTGGTTAACAGACACAGGGACCCTAGTCTTGGAGAACTACCCCTTTAAAGCCCCGCATTGCGGGTTCAAATGGTATTTCAGACAAAGGGTGTTAGGAAGGTTTCAAGGCTCTTGGGTGGTCTTTCGGGCTCGTATCAGGCTCCGGAAAGCTTCTTCCAGTTGTCGGAATGGTTTCAATGCGCCTGGTCCCTGACAAGTGCATCCTGAATCCTACCCAGACCCAAATGTAGGTCCGAAACCGGGAGAACCCCTCCAAAAGGCCTGTTGTCATCATACTGACGGCTTAGGGTGTCGGGGTTTCGGGGTTTAGGGCTTTCGGGCTTTAGGGTTGAGGGGTTTAGGGCTTCAGGGGTTTAGGGGTTTAGGGCTTTAGGGCTTTAGGGTTGAGGGGTTTAGGGCTTCAGGGGTTTAGGGGTTCAGGGCTTTAGGGCTTTAGGGTTTACTAAGTGCTGAGGAGCTCAAGATGCCTCACAGCAGCCCCGGGCCCCTGTAATCCTCGAAGCCCAAATGAAGGAAGACATTCCGGGCCCAAGCCCAAAACCCCCCAAACTTCAAAACTGAAAAATGCCCCAAACCCAAGTCGTACCTGCCCAGTATCCTAGAGATTTGGGGGTTAACGATCGAAACTGCATATAAGGACTATAGTACCCAACAAAAACGTTAAAGGTTTCCTACTCCACTCTTAAAAGTAGCTACCTAAAAGCTCCAAAAATGTCCGTCCCTGGCCTTGGGGCTGCATGCCGGCGTAGGGCTGCGCCAGGTACGTCGTCTGCCCAAAAGCCACGACCTCAGAGTGGAAGCTCGAAGGCTGTCACTGGGGTGTAATGTAGGAACCTGATTAAGAAACCCTGGGCCTATAACTCCAAAATAGCAGGATTCATATAAGGAACCCAAATAAAGGTCCAAGGTTTCTTACTCAGGTTCCTACATTAGACTTTAAAGCTTAGGCCTTTGTTAGGGTATGTTGGGGTTCAGGGTTTGGTTTTGCGGCTTTCGGATTCAAGGTCGAAGGATATGGCTCTGGGGTTTGGGGGTTTGTGCTTCCAAACGAAGGGAATGAGAGGAAGAGCCCCGGATCACGTAACAGGTTCAAGCGAGATACCCGAAAAAGCGGAGCAAAACTCCAATGCAAGTCCCATTGGAAGGGTATGGAATGAGGTTTTGGGCGTACGATGCATCTGGGGCTTAAGGCCACTGGATTGAAGGCTTGGGGCTTCGGGATTCAAGTTTTCTAGAAGTCTCCCGCGAGTGATGTTAACACCTCCTTCACGACATCGTCCGTTGACCTCGCGGTGGTGTCTTCTGTCATTCTGCAGCTGCATCCAGCGACGCCCAATCTGCGCACCAAGGCATCTTTCCTGTCCAAGCACACGGCCTGATTTGATCCGTGTCGTCCACTTGAAGCAGTGCTTGACCCTGCAGCACCGTCAGCGGGAGCATAGACGACAGAATGTGGTCATCGGGCATACGCCGTTGCAGCTCCATGAACTTGATGCTTCGTGAAACAGAGTCATCTACAGTGCACCTGACAATGGCAGCCATCTTTGCCCCGAACATTTCCGCGGACAGTGGCAGGTCCCTCCAGTTGCGCGCAAAACGTATGGTCACCATACTCTGACCCAAGTTTTGAGGTTTGAAGTAGAGTTTGCCGGGCTTAGCCACCGCACTGAACTTGTCCGATGCAGGGCTTAAACCAGTTTGAAAATAAACCGCAACAGCCCGACAACCCACAAGAACAAAAAGAAAAATCACCCGTCAAACCCGAAATTTTCTAAACGCACGCCCGAGGACCCTCTGCACCGGTTCGCGATTCCGGGGATGCTGGTGCTCCTGCATCGGACTCTCGCAACTAAGCAAACATAGCATCAACAATCGCAAAAAAAAGCGACGATAGTACAAGTAGTAACGATGATGACGAGAATAGTTTCATCATGGTAGCAATAATGACACTGGTCTTGCTCATAACCCCTCCGCCGAGAATTCTGCTATGCTAAGCTAAGCTTAGGGCTTCGAACTTCGGGCTTCGGGCGGAGGGCTGAGATCTCAAAACCTTTGGGGTTCTAGGGCTTCTAGGGTTGATGATATAAATCCTGCATTACCTTAAGGACCCAAAACTATGCGAGCTATGGTATATTCCTTATTATGGGTGATGCAGGATTTCTATCATCAACCGTAGGGTTTAGGGCTTAGGATCAGTATCCTAGCTGCTTGCAGGCTGCGTGTTGCTGCTGGCATCACTATCGGTGAAGCTAATCCTCGCGAAATGACTACCACTATGTTCTTTTGGTTTGCTTTTACGGCTGCTGCTTCGAATTTTGGAATGAACAGTTGATTGATCATCAGTACCATCAACATCAGGGTGTGGACACCACAACTTTCACTACCACTACGATTACTTCTTCCTCAGTCTGAAGCCCTAAACCCTTAATTAAACCCTTAACCCATAAAACCGCCCAACACTAGAACCCCAAAACCCTAAAACCCCAAAACCTTTAAACAATAAACATGACCTTGACAACCGGAAGGGCGTCCATTCTAGAGTTCAGGTGGCTGGCCTCTTGGAGAAACCCTGTTAGAAACCTTGAACCGCAAACAACAAACCCCTTAACTTCCTTAACTCGAAGCCCCAAAACCCTGAGCTTTAAGACTCTAGCCCGAAACGCAGGACTCCCGGAAACCCCTCTGCTTCACACCCAATGCAAAGCTCTGCACGGCAGACAGGGATATGGCTCATATGGAGTGGTATGGACATTAAATTTTGCAGTAAGATCAAGAGCAACATTAACTTTCAACAACAACGAAATCTAATGATAGTAATGGCAAACTAGTATTAACCATAATCGTAATGGGAAAACCAAGAAGAATGATAATGAAGATACGAGCCGTTATTTAAAAATAATAATGGTCACAGGGGCTCAAGTTTTGAAGGTTCCGGTTTTCGGGTTGAGCCTCTTACCCAAAAC